GTCAGGGTGAACTTCTCACCCTCAACATAACTTTACATAGGTCTTGGTGTATGATTTTTCTCTCGTGTTAAATTGTCTTGATTCCTATTTATGCCCTTTGTGGGTATAACAAGGTGAAACATCTAATGCTATTTGCATGGATGGGGTTTGTGCTGCCAGAAGTGTCTGTTGCATTCTGTTTATGCACTGCTATAAAGCAGTGACCACATTGCAAATGTTTGGTGTGTCAACTGGCTGGTACAAGAATGCTAGAATTGAATGAGTGATAGAAATGTAGCCGTGTTAGTCTGGGGTAGTTGAATGACAAGCAGTAAACACTGGGCTTACTTCCACACTCAAAGAACGGTGAACCCTGTTTGCAGCTCAGACTCCTTGAGCTTGGTTTACAGAATCTGCATTGCCATCTCAGACCTGTACTGCTTTTTATTCTTACTTGCTAGCTGGGGAACAGCAATACGCCTTGCCAGCTCCATTCAGAATAAGAGTCATAAACTTACAAAGTGGGAAGGCGAAGCATGAAGTGATTTCAGATGCTATCTCTGCCTGCAGCTAACTGCTCTTTTATATACTTGTGTTACTAGACAAAATGTTCAGTCAGCTTGGTTTGTATGTCTTCAGAAGGTGCTTGCTCTGGGGTGGGATTGCACCTTTCATTATTCCCTTCAATCCTACCTGAATACCATCCTGGGGCCTAGCTGGATGTGGGATGAGTATGAAGGGAGGCTGGATTTGTTTATGAATCAGCAGCAACCTCCCTCTCACCCTGGGAATTTGCACATTTCTGGTGGTGCAAATGCAATAGCATGTCAGTGCATTTGTGCCCCCTCACAAGAAGAGAAAATGTTGTGTCAAAGAATTCAAACCACCTTGCAAGCACATGAGCCTGAAAGCTATTGAGCTGATAGAGAGAAGTGCTTTTCACTATGCCCTAACTGTTGGACACAGGCTTAAATAGGTAGGGCTGAATATTGCATAGTGCTCAAGATGCATGGCCTATGTAGTTTGCAGTCAGGCGCTTTGCCACCAATGGTTCATCTTGCTGAAAACCAGAGCTGGCTTAGAGCTACTAGGTCCAGATAGAGCAGCATTAAAACTTTCCAGAGGGTTTGCATACTGAAAGCTAAAGTTTTGTTTTGGCCTATTATAGGGACAGAGACTATCTGTGAATTTCAGATCTGCATCTGGAATTTATTTCCTGAAACCCTTGGATCTAGGAGCCTCAACTTTTGGCTTATGCTCATCCGTCTGAGGTGTGACTTCATTTATAACATGGGTGTCCAGAGGACCATCTGCCAAAGCAACTTTTTTACTGGCTTAACTACAGCAGAGAAACAGATATAATAATCAGGCCAAATGTGCCATGCTTGGTCACCTCTTCCAGTGTTAAAACAGGAAAGGAAGGTACTGGAACCGGAAGTCCTTCACATTGAATCTGAGTGCTGTGAGCAGAGGTGCTCCAGTCATTTTTCAGAAAAAATAAGTCTCCCCAGCAGTAGTCTCAGAAGTTCCCAATGGTATTACAGTGAACCCTTCCCCAAGCACAATCCCCAATCTCATTCATGGTCCTGCTCATGTGCACTTAGCACCTGATCCTAGAAGTTGCAGTAGGAACTGAGCTACCTTAGCATCTCACAGCATCACCCTCTGCCAGGCTTGCTGACCAATGTGGCTTTCTTTTAAGGGAACCTGTGATCAAATCGTGGGTGCCCCTTACATCTTCAGCATTTCTCTTGGGGAGAATACACATCATCCCACATGATCTGATCACCCTTCCTGAGCTGGTTTGCAAGGCCGCTACCCTGTGCACATTCAGGCCCTCATTTAAGCAAATCACTTCATACCCTCCTGAAAGGCTACTTCCATTGTGATTCCTATAAGAAAGCAACTGACTAGTAATGGAAGAGGAGGGGGGTGATCTCAGTAACAATCCAGAAAGTTCTGGTATCAAGCACTGCGGTATCAGAATCATTTCCATCAATTGTATGTTGCATTACATCTCCTCCCCTCCATCTGTGCGTCTCCTTAGGACTGTGAAGCTTTTTGGGCTGGGGCCAGTACTATCCTTTATGCTTATACAGCAGCTAGCACTACTGGAACCCAATACTAAGTAATACCTACCACCATGTTCCATGGTGCTGCAGCCAGAATAGAAACTGCATGCACTTGCCCAAGCTGTCAAATAAGGTTCAAGCTGGTATTGCTCAGGCTGGTTTTAGGGAATGCAATTAATGAAACCAAGGAAGTTATCTGTTCTTAGATCTTGATAGCACAGGAAGAGATCAGTTTTCTGCCTAAATCATTGTACCCTCCAGGACTGAAAAATCAGCAGACAACAAAAAGTTAAGGTCACTCTAGAGATGGGCTTAAGCCACAAAATTCAGATCTGAATTTCAAACACCAAGGGTGCATCTAGACTGGCAAGATTTTGCACAAAAGCGGAAAAACTTGCCAGCTGTCTACACTGGCCGCTTGAATTTGCGCAAGAGCACTGACTTTGTAATGTACAAAATCAGTGCTTCTTTCACAAATACTTTGACGCTCCCACTCGGGAAAAAGCCCTCTTGTGCAAGTGTTCTTGCGCAAGAGGGCCACTCTAGACAGGGAAGGAATTTTTTGCGTAAGAAAGCTCCGATGGTGAAAATGGCCACCAGAGCTTTCTTGCGCAAAATTGTGTCTATACTGGCCATGGATGCTTTTGCGCAAAAGCACTTTTTGCGCAAAAGCATCTGTTCCAATCTAGATGCTCTTTTGCGGAAATACTTTTAACGGAAAAACTTTTCCGTTAAAAGTATTTCCGCAAAATCACGCCAGTCTAGACACAGCCCTCGAGATTCAGTGAGGCTCAGATGTGGGGCTTTTGGTGCCACCCAGGACAAAGATACAGGTGTAACCAACACGAAGTGGATTTGAACCTGGGACCTCTGAAGCGGAGTATAGGCACCTCTACCCTCTGAACTAAAAGCCAACTGGTTCTAGCCTATGCTGTAGAGGTCTCTTGATCTTAACGGTTGCTGTGGTCTGGGTACCACTTGCATTGCTCAGTAACCACACTAGGGCTGTGTCTACACTGGCGCAATCTTGCACCAAAGCGGCAGCTCTTGTGCAAAAACTTGCTGCCTGTCTACACTGGCCATGTGTTCTTGTGCAAGTAAACTGACGTTCTACTATACAATCAGGGCTTCTTGTGCAAGAACTATGATTCTCCAGCTCAGGAATAAGCCCTCTTGAGCAACTATTCTTGCGCAAAAGGCCAATGTAGACAGGCAACATGAATTTCTTGCGCAAGAAATCCCTATGGTTAAAGTGGCCATCAGAGCTTTCTTGCGCAAGAGAGCATCTACACTGGCATGGATGCTCTTGCGCAAAAGCACATCTCTTGTGCAAAAACCCATGCCAGTGTAGACGCTCTCTTGTGGAAGAGTTTTTTCACAAGAACTCTTCTGCAAAAGAGTTCTTGTGTAAGAAGCTGCCAGTGTAGACGTAGCCTAGGTGTGTGGGTTACACAGGGACCATTGGTAAAATTCAGGTGATGGGGTTGTATTTCAAACACAAGTGGGGATGTTTGAATCCTGGATTGTGGTTCAGTCCTATCTTTATGCAAAGCCCTATATCTATGCCAGTCTCTCAGTGTCTCTTTCCATATCCAAGTAGTAACTCACTCTGCTTCTAATAGGAGGGCCAGTGGATTACTAACTGTATCTAATAAATGCAAAATAAGGAGATGGATCTAAGCAAAGCCCATAACTTAATAAATGATGGTAACTGGCTGATAAACTTACCTAATTTCAGAGAGAGTTTACATGGAGGCTATAATGTACAACCTTAAAAGCACACACAGACGTGGCTGTGTTGCTTACAAAAGAAAAAGGCCAGTTATATCTGGAAACCCCTTCTGATAATTGTAGTTTGCCCTTCGGCCTCCCAGGTTCAGCTACTTTTCATTAGCTGGTATCCCGGACCAGCGAAATGAGAAGACTGTGCAACATACATTAGGGTGGTTTGAGCAAGGGGTTTGGTTCAACCGTACCCCCAGAAGTCAGACCCAGAAGAACTAGTGTGCATGGGGTGCACTTTATCAGGGCTGCTATCTTAGGTTTGGCCTGGTTGCCCTTCCTTCATAATGGAGGGACAACTGGGACAAATTTGAGAGGGGTGGAGGGTGACATGACACAGGTTCATGGAACCACTTGGATTTTGTGTCTGCCATTAACAGTGCAGGAAGTGACTCACCCCCCTGGTCAGGCCCAGACCTCACTTTGGCTGCCTCTGGCATCATCATGCCAGGCCCAAGGTGACCTTCCAGGCCAAGAGCCCAGAGGCAGGATCAGGATCAGGGTCAGGAACCCCACTCCCACCTGCAGTGGAGCTGGCGCTCAGGAAGAGGCTGGACCAGGCCCCAGGTCACATACAGGGTAGAGGCTCCCCATCCCCATGGACAGGGAATCAACCCCCCTTCCAGGATTGGGCCTTCTTTGACACCTCTCATTCCTGTGGGGAGAGCAATAATCTGCCCTTTCTTCTCCCCCAGGCCTTTCTGACTCCCAAGCTCCTCCCCACCTCCCATCCCTGCAGGAAGAACAGCAGCCCTCAAAGGCTTGGATCCGCTATGATTCCCCTGTCCTCCCCCCAGTCCCTGCACCCATTGGATTGGGGGCAGCATTTGATCCTGACATCCAGTGAACAACCTAATTGTTTGGATTAGGAGAGTAACTGGGTAGGTAGACTCCATCTGCATCAATAAACAATAATACAGGCCAAGCATAGCAATTGGTGGGGAACATCAGTCTGCACCTGCTCTGGGTAATCATGAACAGCCTTAACATTATTGGCCCACACTGGTAAATCGTTCAGCATCCACGAGTGTAAAAAGGCAAATAAAAAATGTAAAGGTGGCTATAAAACGGGCTAAAATAACTAAGTTCTACAGTCGGTGCTTGGGACGGAAAGGGACTCCTGACCGAATCATTGCTGATAGCAAACAATTACAAATATTTAGCTACCTTCTATAGCAGGTGTTTAATAGTTTGACTTATAGTCGAGTTGTAACATGATCTTCCTGACCATCTTTCCACTGGTTTATAAACAAGTCACAGGTCTCTCCCCAAGAGTCAAATACGTCCTCCGTGGAGTCTATAAGTTTGGAATTAGAGGAGCAAATATTGGAAGCACAGTGAAGGGAGCTGGTACAAACCATAGGGCATTCCTTGCTCTGTCCTGTAAGTCGCATGTTCCCACTATAGTCCACCTCATTGAGGTTAATTTCACTTTTGGAACAGTTTTCTTCCCTCTCTTTATCTATCTGAGAATATTTAATGTCTTGCCACATGTAATGTGGCTGAATGACTCCATCTGAAATAGTGTACATAGGCTCTGCATTTGGCTCAGGCACATGCCCATTCATCTTAGAAAATAGGAGACCCAGTCTCTTGAAAGATTCTTTCTTGGAGTTTGAAAGCCTCTGAACCCTATTCCCGTTCCGGACAAAGGAGCGCTTATTTATTCCATTGCTTTTTGGTTTCTCTTCCACAATCTCGATCCCAGACATAGTTTTAATGAGAGCTGACACATTGAAATCTTTTTTCTTGTTGGCTACATTGAAAGAAACACTCTTGGCTTTGGCTTTTTCTCCAGAACCATCCTCATTGGTTTCCTCCTTTTGGGAGACCTCTGTGCTGCTAGTAGAGTAACTTCTCCTCTGGGGTTTCCTGTTTCCCAGGAGGTCAAGAACTTCATAGCGAAAGCTAGATATGTCCTGCTTTAATTCCTAAGGAAAGAGGGAAAACGAGTTACCCACAGAAGTTTGGTCTGAGATATGAAAGAATGATTGTATTCCCCCGAGGGGAGTGTTCAAAGTTATGCAAATGTGGGATGCCAAGTCACTATGTACAAGAATACCAGATAAGTCTTTCATTATTCAGCAGTTAGTTTTCTGCAACTAGAGAGAATGCCTCGCTGGATCGCTAGGTCCCTAATGGCCATTAGGCCAGCATTCTTGGCCCCACAAAAGAAAACGAATATTTTTTAGTCCCTAATGGCCATTAGGCCAGCATTCTTGGCCCCACATGAAAACGAATATTTTTTTAAAAAAATCTAACAAAAATTTTCATTCCTGTGGGGAGTGGGAAAGGCTCTGCTGCAATGTGCCCGTGACCTTGGTTAATGGGTCACACGTTTAATTTAGGTGACAGATGTTTCCCTCTTTGGGACTGACTCCCCTAGAAGTGCAGGCATACTCAGGAGATGACAGCCCAGCTGTCTCACACACACACTGTGACGTTTGATCTACTGAACATCATCAAAGTCTGCCTCTTCATGGCTGCCTTAAATCGATCTGCCACTTTGCATCCTCACATTCCTTGCCACGGGCGTTACTGTTCATGTGCACAATGTTTGGTCTTATCTAGACTAGCATTTAGAGATGTGCTGTTAAATCAAGTTAGCGCAATCTGATTAACACCTTCTAAAATCCTAGTCAAGAACAAGCAATTGCACTTTAGACCATGCTAAACTGCTGAAGTCTAGAGGGACTCGGGGAGGGTAGCAATGGGCAGCAGGTTTAAAACAAATAAAAGGAAGTTCTTCTTCACACAGCACATAGTCAATCTGTGGAACTCCTTGCTTGAGGAGGTTGTGAAGGCTAGGACTATAACAGGATTTAAAATAACTAAATAAATTCATGAAGGTTAAGTCCATTAATGGCTATTAGCCAGGATGGATAAGGAATGGTGTCCCTAGCCTCTGTTTTTTAGAGGGTGGAGATGGATGGCAGGAGAGAGATCTCTTGATCATTACCTGTTCAGTTCACTTCCTCGGGGGCCCCTGACACTGGCCACTGTCGGCAGACAGGTTACTGGGCTGGATGGACCTTTGGTCTGACCCAGTGCGGCCATTCTTATGTTCTTATAAGAAGGGACTCCTATTCGCTCACAAAATTTGCACAGAGACATAATGTCACACCTATGCTCAGCACTAATAATACTGAATAATGCTTTCATCAGTAGATCTGAAAGTGCTTTACTCAGAAGGTAACATTACTGAGTGTAACAAAAGGAACTGTTATGAGAGGCAAATGTATTACAGAATAATGGATTACCTTAAAATTTTCTTCAGTTAATCCCTCGTTGGTTTTGGAATTTCGTATCATTGCTGCAACATACCTTTTCACTAGATTTCTGATCACTTCCTGAAACATAAAAGAACATGAATGATTCAGCTGTCTACTTATTGAGGCCAAATTGCAAAGTCCCATTGTGTTTTCACTGTCTGCAATCACTCTATCCCACTCTTTGTGGAGTCAGAGACCTGCCTTTCATATTGAAAAATGGGGCATGTTTTTTCAGACAGTATGCAGCATTATGAAGAGTTCCAGATCTTGCATCTTGAAAGATCAACAGTTAAGCATAATATGTCAAACTCCTGTACCAGTGTTGTGTGTATGCAACAATGCTTGTGTGAGAAGAGATTTCATAATTTCTCTGCCTTAGTTTTCCCATTTGTAATATGAGGATAATTACCCACCTTGCAGAGAGAGGATGAGTCTTAATTGGTTAAAGAATGTCAAATGCTTTTAAAGTTTCATATATATGCCAGGTATTATGCAACCATTAAATATGTCACTTGGAGATTTGTTTTCCCCCATCATCATGAGTTATGAACAGCTCCATGGTAAAACAAACACATATACATATATTGAAGAGCAGCCAGAACTCTCTGGATTAATTTAGAGCCACATTAGACCACGTGGATATAAAAAGTCTCATTGAAGTAAATGGGAACATTGGGGATTTATCCAAGGGAATACTTTATCCTGAGGGTAGTCAAGTCTATGGTATATTAAGGGCTCTTTCCTGCAAGGAACTTACTCCTTGATTACCATTTGGTGGTACTGGGGACAGTGTTCTCTCTAAGCTGCCTGGCAGCACAGCTTCACAAGTGATTAATCAACTCTGCCCAATCAGTCAGCTCCATGCCAGGAGCCCTGAGCTAGGATGGGATGGACTGGATGGGGCTGATTAATCACCTGTGAAGCTGTGCTGGCCCACAGATGAGAGGGAACACTGATCCGGGGATCTGAGGATCTCTCCACAGAATAAGCTCTTAGTTACTTGCCCCAGATCTCTGACTCTTTGGCTGTGTCTACATTGGCCCCTATTCTGTAATAGGGATGCTAATGTAGCACTTTGGAATAGGCAAATCCGCGGGGGATTTAAATATCCCCCGCGGCATTTGCATTTTCATGGCTGCCGCTTTTTTCCGGCTTGTAGATAAGCCGGAGAAAAGCGCCAGTCTGGATACGATCCTCCGGAAAATAAATCCCCCGCGGATTTGCCTATTCCAAAGTGCTACATTAGCATCCCTATTACGGAATAGGGGCCAATGTAGACACAGCCTTTCTGTGGTCCTGGGTTATTCAATTCAGTCCACATTTTTGGCGGGAAGAGATCTATTTTTGCAAGCAAATGTGCCCATTTGCACCTGCTGGTGTGCATGTAAGAGCTGTAATTACATAAGCAAGTTGGTATTTAGCCACGGTAAATGTGTTCACACACATAGGTGTGCAATTGCACGCATTTTCCAGCATGCCAGTAGACTTCTGCCCATTACAAATGTTGCTCTCAACGTTCCTCTCATCTGAGCCTTCCTCTGTCGAAAAACAAACAAACAAAAAAGACTCCTTATTTGTGATGGATCTAGGAACTCATTGCAAAAATAAGGCTAAGCTTTTTTTACTTTTTTTAAAGGTACCTCAGCTGCAATTTTGATAAGGATTTCACTTCCCTGTGTGATCAGGCATGAAATCCTGGCACCTCTGAAGTCAATGGGAATTTTGCTATAAATTTCAGTGGGAACAGGCTTTACCCCAACTTTTGCACTCTATT